TCAACCAACGACCACTATCGAGTCCAAGACATCACTTCAACCAACGACCACTATCGAGTCCAAGACATCACTTCAACCAACGACCACTACCAAGTCAGCCACGACTATAAGGCCTTGGACAACAAAACTGCCAGTGACCTCCATCTCTGAGACTTTACGTTCTGCAAATACAATGCAGAATATGGTGTTGGGCAGCACTGCATCAGGTAAGGACACAACTGTTTCATGTCACAAGGTCACATTGCTGATCTTACCAGCATTATATACACATCATGCACAGTACAATAAAGCATTACAGGATGACACTTCTTCCAAGAGAAGCAGGCTGCCTGCCAAAGTGTTTTAAAACATTTTGGTACATTAGACATTAAAAATATTCACCTGTAACTTTTTTTTATTGTAAAATGTCACTGAAGCATTCGCTGTAAGGCACGCGTGCTACGTCAGTGTTTAGGGGCAGCGACAAATCAGGTACAAGATTACAGGGGCAGCTACAAATCAGGTACAAGGTTACAACCTGGTAGCATTTCTCAGAGACCGTGTTCCAATCAACTAGAGCATGGCTATTCAAATCACGGTCCTCAAGGTCCAAGCCCTGCTGATTTTCCAGCCTTCCTTTTCCTGTGAGCTGGTATGAAGCCTCTGTGGCCAATCAGAATCAGTAATTATTAAATCAACTACCTGGGAGCATTGAAAACAAGGCCTGGATTTGGATTTGAGGTCCAGATTTGAAGATGCCTGAACTAGAGCATCTCGCTTTGTGTGCTCTCAGCATGTCCTCAAACCTGCACTCAGCGTTGCTCTTCTCCGTTGTTCCGTTAATATGATTTACATTTTAAATGCTTATTCCATATCAATTTTGATGCAGATGTTTCCCCTCTTCCATACAGAGATCATCCCAACCTCAAGATCCAGCAGTCCAGCATCAGTCATTCCATCTTCTACAAATAGCACCCGAGTATCCACTATGATCAGTTCAGAAGAGGTATGTCTCCTGCTTGTCTAACTTAACCATTTGCAAGCGAAACCCCTGCCAACAAGTGAAAACCCGAATGAGGGGACTGACAGTCTTGTGCAAAATGACCGAAACAAACAATGCTATCCCAAAATGCAATGCACTCAAAAATATGTTTATTTGCAAAACATGCTTTTCGACCTCCTTTACACATTCAGCCTCCAGATTAACACAAAGCAAAAATTTTCAAGATAATTCAAAAATGGGTTTTTGTTTTCTTATTCCGACTTTGGACACCGACACTACAGACAGTTCAGGTCCAGAAAGTACAAATACAGACCAAGGTTTTGTTTCAACCAGTTGAGTACTCTGTGACTGTGACTCTTTATGCTCAACTGGTTGGTTGAAACAAAACCTTGGTCTGGATTTGTACTTTCTGGACCAGAACTGTCTGTAATGGATTACTTTTGTAAGTAACTTCCCCAACACTGGTGGTTCATCACCATGTGTGGGTCTGGGTCTCTGTCTCACTTCAGCTGTAGAATATTGTATTTTTTATTTGTCTCGACATTGAGGAAGGGGGAAAAAAAAGTCATTGCGACTTTTTTTAAAAGTTAGGGGAAAAAATTCCCTTTGTGGTTCTGGAAAATTTATTGTTTAAATGATCTTTCCCTGTTCCTGTAGCATGCTTCACAGTTCTCTGAGCAGAAAGATGCCCTTTGAACCAATTTTTCTTACTGACAAACGGCTGGACGGAGAGACAGATAGACAAATAATTAGATAGATAGATAGATAGATAGATAGATGATAGATAGATAGATAGATAGATGATAGATAGATAGATAGATAGATAGATAGATAGATAGATAGATAGATAGATGATGGATGGATGGATGAATGGATGTCACCTACACCTTAAACAAACCTCTTACCCCGGCCATCTTCACATATTAATTCACGTGAGATTGTGAAGTCTTCTGCTGACACACAGCTGTGTTACCTACTGAACTCTTGTTGACATCTTTTAAACCCCAAGGTCTGCAAATATCTGAAGGCATGGATCATTAAGGACTGCGACATACAGCGCACCGGGAGAGGAAAATACAACCTAAATATCTGTAGGTTATTTTAAATAATGGACACGTAGCTATGCTACACAACATGTCCATCCGTGACGTGACAATGCACCTCACCATAGATACTGCACAATCCCCAAGTACAGGCCTGGAAATCATTACTGATACTGCTCACTAAGGTAGGACCATGTGGCACCCTAAGCAAGCATCACCCGTCCGAGGCAAAGTGTGACTGGTTGGTGCCCCCTCAGAAAAGGTGGTGCCCCACGTTATCAGAAAAAAAAGTGCCAATTTGTACCGTTGATGGTACAATTACTTATCACTGGGACGGTCCCCTCAAGGGTCTGCCAATTGTGCCCTAGCTGTAGGTAAATGAGGTAAATGTACCTTTTAGTATAATTTAAGGTACAGAAATAGACTCTATGGAATGTTTTTGTACCTTTGAGGAACATAACTGTAGCATGGCTGTGCCATTTTTCCTGTCTGCCTATGCCTGCTACAGGATTGACCGGCTCTGGGTAGGACTGTTGGATGCAGCTGAAAATGAAGCATTTCAGTAAAGAATGTAGCTGCTTCGTTTTCTTTCTACCTTAGTTTTTCTCGTCGGTTAGCTCAGAAGCTGATGTTAGCTTGGTATTAAAGAGGTGACAGAGTTAATAGGTGTCAATCTTCCAGTAACTTTAAAATGGTGTAAGATAATTATATAATTATCTTGTATTGCTCTGGTTATCCAAGTAAGTGGAACTGCTAAGGGTAAAATGTGAATAAGAAGTATTTCTTAAAGTGCGCGCCAGTGAATAAAGAGATATTTTCCTTCAAAAGTCATTAAACACTACTGCCAATTACACTTCAAATTGAATGGATTATGTGGTTACATTAAATGTGTTTCAAAATGTGACTGTACTTTACTTACAGATAGCGAGGAAATCATTGACGAGCCACCTTCAAAGGTATGCCCTAGATTTAAAATAATGACTAAATATATGCAAATATTATGTGTTCTGCTGTGGTGTAGTGCACATCTGCATGTGCATGTTCACGTGTACCATCTGTATACATGTACAGCCTCATCAGAAGTTACCTGTTTTTTATACAGTTACACTTGTCGGTAGAGAATTAATTGAAATCCGTTGTAAACGCCGTTATACATTGTGCATTTTGGATTTATTTCCATCTAGACGCAGTCCTACAACACCAAACTTATTGCCGCTCTGGTCACCACCTTCATCTTGTTGTTCATCATCGTCCTCAGCAGCTTTTTTCTATGGCGCCGACGCTCTTACAAGATGAACCAGGTGAACACCAAGCAGACCTTTGTGGGTCAGGAGAGGGCCACAAAACCGTAAGCGCATGGACCACCTCACTGCTTCTTCATGACGTGTTTCTTTTCCCTTATGCTGGGTTGCCACAGCAACAGCTGACAGAGGAGTTGCACACTTGCGAGAATGGTTACCATGACAACCCCACACTGGAGGTGATGGAGGTGCAGCCAGAGATGCAGGAGAAGAAGGTGGCCCTCACCAAAGAGCTCCACGACACCTGGATCGTGCCCTTGGACAACTTGACCAAAGTCGACCTTCTGGACGAGGAGGACACACACCTGTAGGGTGATGTCACCTGAGGTAATGGTGACGTGACTGCAGGGTAACGGTCACTCACATGCAGGACCAAACGAGGGCCACTACATGCCCATCCATAAGCAGATACCCCCCAAAATTTTCAAAGAACTTTCTTCCTGAATGCTAAAAGGTACAGTTTGAAATCCTGAAAAGAACCACTGTGTGGATCTTACCTCACAAATACCAGGACTGTTAACCAGCACCATCAGCGGGTCCTGTACCTCTGTAATCCTTTATTTTTGCCAGACTAAAATGACTCAAAAGATGTGATGTTAGGATTCACACTATTGCATCGAAGGGCCAATATTTTATGCCCTGGGGTCTGTTACTCGTCCCCTATGTTTAAAAAGCTGATTAATCTTGACCGCTGGAAGATTTACTTACCGCTGCTGTTCAGGGTCACTGGGTAGCGGCGCATCGCCACCCCTGTGGGGTTCTGGCGGGAGTTCCGGTCGCTCTCCGCGTTTCCATGCTGGAGCACTGTCCTGCGCTCATTCAGGGCCAAGGATGGGGAGGCCGGTGAGAGACAGACCAGAAGCCGCGGAGATTCACTCACCAGCGAGTCACTGCTTCAGACAGAACCGTATGAAGCCAAAAGGGTGAATAAGCCACTTCAGTGGGTCCAGCCTGCTTCTAGGAGGCTTTTTGTAAATATATGTATCTTTTTAACCAGACAAGTGCCTTCCCACACTCAGGTCTCGCTGAGGGAAGCATTGCGTTTTGCTGTCAGATAATGAACCACCACATTCACATCATCCAGCACCAGGTTAAATGCTTGAATACTGTTTCTCACAGACTCTTTCACTTTATAAAACACTTAAGTTATGCAAAGATGAGTTATTTGTGGTTCTTTTGCTGAAGCTGATAAACACTGGGATTTGTATGTATGGTTTTCCCTGATCCAAGACCTTTTTTATGTATCAATAAAACACCGAACTAACCAATGTGGGTGACTGATGCATTTTTTTTCCTTAAATTTAACAGTGCAGTCACAGGCAAATGAGCACACAACCAAGTATGTATGTTTTTATTAAGAAAACTTGAACAAAATACAATCTTTATTTATTATTTACATTACATACAAAGCAATTCTACAAGTTGCTCTACACAATCATTTATGCAAATAGTGTTTACAAACCACTTAAGTACCAGTTAACAGCACTTGGGGTGGGGGGAATAATGTTTAAAAAAAAAAAAAACTTTTCTTACTTTGTGTAACATTTGGCATTGTGTTGTCAGAATGTTTAGTTCTGGCACAAAAACTCACCCCTTGATGCACCTAAACTTTAATAAGCGTAATGAAGTAGTTGTACCACTAGGTGTCAGTAAATTGAACCTGGGATGACTCGTTTTTAAAAACTACACACAAATGCAAGAGAAATGAGTCAATAGTAACGCAGTATGTACAGAAGCACAATGGACGCCCGATCATAGCGTACACATTCCTGACGGGCCCATTTCAATGTTCTGCTGACATGTTGCGACTGCGAGCGATGTCAACTATATTGTTTTGTCTGGTCGAAAAAGCTCATTACTGGCCAAGATTAGTACTTTTCCTATGGGGGGGGGGGTCACAGCCGCTTTTCCGATGGCTGGGCTATGCGTCACACTTGCCAAGATGCTTGCTGGGACTTCCTTGTTTTAGGTAAAACCCTGGCCAGGACAACTCAGGGAAAATTCCTATGCAGATTAATGTACAATCACCTATAATGGCTGCTTTCGAAAGCCCTTGTCTGGTGTGATTCCCTTATTTCCAATATAATTAGATGCACAAGCTGAAAAGGCTGGAAAATCTGCAAAAAAAAAAAAACTGCTTAAAATAGTCAGATCTAAGAGTCATCTGGGAATACTCTTTCCTCTCTGTCAAAATCATTTTTAATAAAACTGAAAGGCAATGAAGTCACAGACTATGATGTTCAAGTCTGAGTCTTCATTTGAAGATCAGAAATAGGTAACGTATCCAAAGTCATTTTTAATGAACGGGATGAATCCTATTACCCCCGTTGGGAAGCCTCACATCTTTTTACTTGCCCTTATCTTTTAGGTCAAGCTCTAAGAAAGTGCTACACAACGTACTAGTAAGAGAAATTATTTTATAATGGGGTTGAAAACAAATCGCGGAGGCCTGGGGGCCCCTGCATGAGGTCTGACACAGCAAGGCTGTCACGGGGACTCCTGCGGGGCGGAGACCATCAGCGGCTGAGGCAAACAAACCCGTCACCAGGTCTCAGCCCCTTCGCCATGATTCCTGTCCCAGTAGTGCATCCCTATGCGCTTGTGTGCCCACGCCCCAAACTTCCCCTCTCCATACAAGGCATCTGAATCGATGTTAAGTTCCCCCCCCACCCTTCCGGCTGAAGTTGAGACCTCAATCAGCCCCCTTTTGTTAAGATGAGCACAGCAACGACAAACAATTTCATCTACGTCTGCTGCCTCTGCCTTCTGCAGAATGGGGGGGCTCCCAGCTAGCCTTTCCAAACCCCCCCCCCCCCCAACAGTCACGACAGTCGTACGACACAGCCTCTCCCAGTGCAAGTACGGGTGGGGGCCTCAATCAGGCACTTGGCCTTCATCACCCCCTGCCCTTCATCCAAGCCACACGTATTTGGTCTTAGATCTCTGTTTATACAAATATGTATACAAAATAAATGTAATAGCTAGCTGAGGAAAAAAAAAACACTTGTACATTCACAGCAGAGGGGAAATAAGGGTGAAATTCGCCCATGTCATGTTTTCCAGTGAGGAACAGAATGTGGTACCAAAAAGAAAATGATCTGGAAACACATACTGTATCTACAAATTCCCAGCATTTTTAGCTTTATGGGATGCTGAAAAGGAAAGAGGCCAGTACAGAGACCCAGCCCCCACCCATCTCCGGCACACAGGAGGGCCCCCTGGACAGCACCGACTCAAAGCCGCACAGCACAGGTTTAAAACGAGGGGGGGGGAACCCTTTAATAATATTTGCAATGATGAATCAATTTATTCCTCAGCAACAAAGTATCTGGGAAATGTTCAAGTGCATTTTAACTTAGGAAAAAAAAATCAAATACTTCTGTTTTAAGCCAACAATCAAGCTTCCGGAGTCATATCTTCGCTCCCAAATCCAAAAAACGGAAAACAAACCAGCACAAAGGGGGAGTGAAGTGGTGCAGCCCCAGCAGCGCATCACGGGAACGCCCCTCAGCGGCGGCGGTGGGCACGCAGATGCCACAGTGCAGCTACAGCGTGATGAGATCAACGAGGTTACCCTTGGGTGGGGTCATGCTGTCGGGAAAGAAGTTCACCAGCGTGTCGAAGAGCTGTGTCCGCTGGGCGTAGGTTTGGTCCACGTCGGAGAAGCCTGGGAAGAAACAAGCATCAAAGGGAAAGGCGGTCAGAGTGTCCAGAGAGGCCCTGCACTGGCAATCCTGTTTCCATGGAGCGCGCACACACACACGCACACACACACACACACACAC